CCCACCTTTCTTTTCCTTTTTCCTCTCTCCATTTTTTTATTTTTATTTTTTATATAGTGCTAAGGATCAAACCCAGTGCCTGTGTTACGCAAGTGCTTTACCAGTGAGCCTTGACCCCAGCTCTCCCCTCTAACTTCTACATATAAGAGAGAACATACGATCATTGATCTTCTGAGTTTGGCTTATTTCCCTTAACGTAAGGTTCTTAAGTCCATCCATTTTCCTGCAATAACATAATTTCATTTTTCTTTACATAGTTGAATAAAACTCTATGGTGTATATATGTCATATTTTCTTTATCCATTTATCCTTTGATGGACACCTAGGTTGGTTCCATAGTTTGGCTATTGTGAATTGTGCTGCTATAAATATGGGTATGCATGTATTGTTATAGTATGATGACTTATTTTTAAAATATTTTTTTGGTTGTACATGGACACAATACCTTTATTTTATTTCTTTTTATGTGGTGCTGAGGATTAAACTCAATGCCTCACACATGCTAGGCAAGTGCTTTACCATTGAGCTACACAACCCCAGCCTGTTGATGATTTATTTTTTTGTACTGGGAATTGAACTCAGGAGTACTTTACCACTGAGCCACTTCCCAAACCCTTTTTATTTTGAAACAGGGTTTCACTAAGTGTGTGAGGCCTTGCTAAGTTGCTAAAGCTGACCTCAAACTTGCACTCCTCCTGCCTCAGCCTCCTGAGTTGTTGGGATTACAGGCATGCTCCACCATGTCCAGTTTGATGACTTAAATTCTTTAGGATAAACACTGAGGAATGGTATAACTGGGTCATATGGTGGTTCCATTCCTAGGTTTTTTTGTTTGTTTGTTTGTTTGTTTAATCAGGGATTGAACCCAGGGGTGCTTAACTACTGAGCTACATCCCCAGCCCTTTTTTTATTTAAGACAGGGTCTCTTTTAGTTACTTAGGGTCTTGTTAAATTGCTGAGGTTGGCTTTGAACTTGCAATCCTCCTGCCTCAGCCTCCTGAGCTGCTGGGATCATAGATGTGTGCCACTGTGCCAGGCTTCCATTCCTAATTTTTTTGAAAAACCTCCTAAGAAGGTATATATTTTAAAAAGCAAGAAGATGCACAGGGCATAGTAGAAATAATAACAGCAAAGATTTATTACAGTGTATGCCAGCCTCTGTGCTAAGTATTTTATGAATATTAAGTTATTTAACCCTCATCATGTTTGTGTGTGTGTGTGTGTGTGTGTGTGTGTTGTAGATGGACAGCATACTTTTATTTTATTTATTTTTTATGTGATGCTGAGGATTGAACTCAGTGCCTCACACATGCTAGGCAAGCGCTCTGCCTCTGAGCTACAGCCCCAGCCCTCACCATAGCCTTTTGAGATCCATATGCAGGTAAAGAATGAGGTAAGGCAGTAAGAGTTGAAATGACATGCCCCAGGTCAAGCAGCTAGTTAAGTGGCAGTGCTGGGGTCATCCCCCTCTGGCCTCTCTGGGTGCCCAGGATCACTGTTTTGTACTTCCTTAGACTCATGAGCTTACAATTTATTTTATTTTATTTTTTTTTTAAAGAGAGAGTGAGAGAGAGAGAGAGAA